TATCAGGAGGTTTTGGATCGAAATCCTTTCCTGGGCCTACAGCAGATAATTGTTGATCACTGGCATGTGTGGCCATGTACTTTACTTCGGCTTCGAGAGCCGTTATCATCTTGGTTTCGGCTACATAAGCCGAAATTCGCTTCAAAGATTGCGACTCAGTCATTATCACTGAATTCGCTTCCCCAACCAGTTGGTTGGATATCAGTTAACCCACTGAAGTCTATGTGGGACAAGTCTTCTCTGTCCCATTGGAAACCATGCTCAGGATGCAGGTATAGGGAACAAAAAGTGTTTGGCGCTGGCGCCATATCGAAGTCAGGTGTTGGACATGGCCCTATGTGAGCCAAGTTTTTGTCGAAATCTGCCAAACCCAGGTGATTCACTTCGCCAAGGTAATAGCTTTGATCTGCCTCTATGTTTTCGACCATCCCATCTGGACGCCATAGCAGCAGCCTTTGGTGCATAGATGAAGGCACAGCGCCAACACCATGAATCCATTCACGGCCCAACAAAAGATTGTAGTTAGGTTTGGCCGATATGACCATAAACATCGTTGGTCGAAGGATCGACCCTACTTTGATGTCTAGCTGGATCACTCCCATAGTGGTCCCTATGCCGCCCTCATAGTTCGACAGGACCATGTTGTGAGGCTTAATGTCCTCATCCCTTTTGCCAATCTTCCTTAGCATAGAGTGAGGAATAATGTTGATGGTTGCCCCACAATCCACCAATATTTTATTCACAGTAGTTTCTTCGAGTTTAGCCCTTATGAATAAAGGCTTGAGGTGATTTTTCATCGCCTCTGTAGGTGGCTCGAAGAAGCCATTTTGTTCCTCAGTAGTGCCATTGTCCATGACAAAATAGCACACTGGCCTATGTTTGGCCATTTCTTGCTCCACTTCCCAGTCACTTGCTTCGACTTCTACTTGTCGATTGAATTCTCTGGGCAGCACTGAAACTATATTCACCATTATGTCTAAAGTATCATCAGACTCAGCATCGTCTTCGTCTTCGACTTCACTTTGGTTAGGCCAAACTAGCCTGTTGGTTACTGGCTCTCTCTCTAGAGGCTTCCTTTGTTTCCTTTGGGGAACATTCGAACTGGTTTCTGCCTTAGGTTCGTTGGCAGCCTCCCTTTCAGCTTTTCGTCTCCTTTGATATCTCCTCCATTGAGATCGAGACATAGGATTCTTACCTTTGTAGTTGCTGGACACTTGTGCAACCTTAGGTGCAGCAACCTGAGGCTCTTTCTTTTGAGTCAAAGAGGAACCTCTTGGCACCTCGAAAGAATGCCATTTCTCCTCACTTGGCCTTTTTCGACCAGAGGTTTTATACCAAGTATCCACTGGCACATTTGTGGGAGGCCTAAAAGTCAGTGGCCTCTTGTCTTGGTTAGAACCTCTTCTGGGATCATGTCGAAGGTCAACATTCTCCCTTCTCTTATTCGCTGCTCTTACGCCTTGAATGTGCTCAGCAGCTTTTTTATCAAAGATCGAACTGCATCTTGGACACAGCATCACCTCTGATTTCTTTTTCTGGCATCTTTGTAGAAAATCTGCCAAGTTTTCATTTTCCCGAGGGAAAGCAGTCTTATTAGCTTGTTCTTGCCTCATGGCCTCTTCTGATGCTTTTGGGTCAGAAAGTTCGACCATGTTGATATTCATTGTATCTTTGTTAGCAAGAGTTAACTGCTTCATTTGTATCTCCAGATTCTCCGTCTGGCCTGGAACTGTGGCCAAGTGGGAACTGGGTTTTGGTCCAGTTTTTTGTACCTCAGCGGTCTCCGACTTCGGGCTTTCGACCGCTTTCTGGACAGCTTCAATTGTCTTCCTGGATAAATTTCCAGAAAAACTGCCAAAGATTGGCATGTTGATGTGGTCCTTTGAGACTTCGACCATGGTAATTCCTGGCTTCTTCGACTGGATCCTGGTTGCCTCTATCACGTTCACCTCAGAGGGTTCAGCATAGTGGGCTTCAGCCTGCAATGGATTGGAGTCAACAGCCATGGGGGATTTGTCAGCAAACTTCAATCTCCCTTCTTCGATAGCGTCTTGTACAAGATTCCTGAAAAGAAAACATTGAGAAGTTTTATGGCCCAAAAAATTATGATATTTGCAAAAACCTCTCTTCTTTCTTTGATCAAGAGGAGGCAGTTTCACCCCTGGGGGTACTATCATTTGGCCATCTTTAACCAATAAGTCGAATATTTCATCACATTTTGTGATGTCAAAACTATAAGTCTTTTTTGGGAACCTATCGTTGGTCCTTTCTGGACCACTGGGGTTTTTCCCATTTGAGGGGACTAACAGTTTACAAGAGTATGGTGGCCCTTGTTTAAGTTCTGCTAAGTCGACTTCTCCTTCTTCGACAGTTAAAGTATCGTCGAAGGATTCTAGATCTTCGTCATCCATCTCAACGTACGCTATCCTCTCTCTCTTGTGGGTTTTCGTTGCCTTAGCTTTTTCAGCTTTGAGGCGTTCTACCTGTCGAACTCTATCGGCCAGTTGGGCCATGTCTCTTAGGTACTGGGTGTCTAGCTTCTTCCTAATGGAATAATCTAAACCGCCTGCGGCTATTTCGACCAACTCATGTTCTGGCACTTGTGTAAAACATCTCGCCTTGAGCAACCTAAACCTATTCAGATATTCGTCTATAGGTTCAGTGAAACGTCTCTTCACACTGGCCAGTTCTTTCAGGCTTATCTTGGTTTGCCCCATGTAGAATTGTTCATGGAACAATCTTTCCAACTGGGTCCAATGATGGATCGAATTGGGGGGGAGAGTTGTAAACCAAGTAAAAGCGTTCTTGGTTAAAGAACTTGGGAAGTACTTGATCCTTAGGTTTTCGTTATTCGAAATGTCTCCTGCTTCGATCAAGTATCACGCCACATGCTCGACAGTAGATTCTGTCGTGTCCCCAGAGAACTTGGTAAATTTGGGGACTTTGCATCTAGGAGGTAAGTCCGTTTGTAACACATATTCTGACAATGGAGATGTAAAGTTGGGCCTTCGAAAGCCCATGTTCATCCCATTCTGAGTCATGATCCTTTCAATCATGGTTGCCAGATTGTTTTCCAAACCCATGTTTTGGTATTGGATATGCTGAACCACTTCGTCAGCATTTTGGTTTCTGTTAACTAACCTTACCTCTGGGGTTATTACCCTAGGTTCCTCGACAGGTTGTTCCAATCGTGCCCTAAGGTTTTCTTCGACAGGCTGTTGAGCCTGGTTAATGGTGGTTTCTTCCTCTAAAAATATCCCCTGGTTTCCCCTTATTTGCGCCCTTTGGGGCTGTCGAATAGGTTGGGGTACTCCAAAGAAGTCAGCCAAACGCGTCATTTGCGCTGTCACTTGCTGATTCGATTGAGTAGTGTTTTGTATTAGAGGGTTTAGCACTGTACTCAAAGTTTGTGCCAACATTTGCACCATATCATGGTTGCTTTCGTCCATTTGTTGCCTCAAGACTGCTGTCGAGGCGTTTGTAAGGCCATGGGCTACTTGGGACGTTCCTCCTAAGAGTTGGGTCCTATTTCTATTCTCCATGCCTACTCCAGAGCCTTGGAGTGGCGAAGAGGCACTCACTAAAGGGTCTGAAAACGTGGACGCAACATTCGTCAGGCTTGCCACTTCAGAAGTTGGCATACCATAGAATGGAATAAATCCTGGGGGAACCAAAGGCCTTGTGCCTAAATTTCCCCTTGGTGGGGGAGTTCCCAAAGGCATCCTGGGGCCTGTTAACGAAGGTATTGGCCCCGTGGTTGTGACCGATACTGCCGGTGTCGAACCAACATTTGTCGCTTCACTTACGGTCGTACTAACCGTTGCTCCCACATTCGTTTGTGGGGTTTCGTTATTGTTTGGCAGATTCGCCATCTCTTCCCTTCTTCTGGCAGTATTGTTATCGTTAGTGTATATTCTACCACTTCTCAATAACATACAACTCGAAAAGATGAGATTATTTTCAACAATCAACACACAGTCCCACCGGGTGTGCCAATTTGTTTACCTTGGGTTTTGGTAAACAACCGCTGATCCTCCAAATGGTTACTTATTTGGTTACTCGCAGGATCGATCAGATTGATCCTAGGACATAGGTTGATTTTGAAGTTTTGATTAAATTGGATAAGGCTTTAAATAAAGAGGCTTTAAATGACATAAAAAGGTTTCAAGTAAATTGCATGAAGAAAGGACTTGGTAAAATAAACAAGGCTTAAAGTAAAAGGCTTCGACAGGAATGTAAAGAGGAAAGCAAGTAAATTTCTGGAAAAGTAAATGACTTTGATTAATAAAATTGGTGTTTCACACATACATTTCTCAACAATTCTTTCTCACACGCTGGGTACTCGAATCTATATGAGTGACTTTGTATAGAATTGTGAACACACGCGAGAAACTACATGTCTACTTCTATTTATACTAAAACATCCCAAGTAACCGTCGGGCAGTTACACTGCTTCGAGATCAATCCACTTGGCACGTTCTCCACGTTCGACGCTCCAGATCCTTGCACGTTTGCACGTGGTAACTGCTGGAAACCGTTTCCCCTCCAAACGCTTGAATTTCAAACTGCTCCACTCTGAACCATCGAACACTTTCGTCGAGAGACATCTTCGACGAGAAACTCCTTCGACGTCGAAGGCAACCAACTTCTCCCTTGGAAGAAATCTTCTAAACACTTTGCCATCTTTCGACGGGCATTTCGACAGACTTAGCCAGTCGAAAACATCTTTCAGCTTTAATGGCTGACATCAACAAAACAAAGGTGTCGAATTTAGGAGCCAACACCATCCTTAAGCTTGAGAGAGAATGTTGAAAAAATGAAATGAATAAAAGAATTTAAGTGATAAATTGATAAAAGTTGTTTTTAATAGATAACAGACTTTCAATTTATATTAAACAAGATTCAAATGCTAGTTAGAAACTTGTCACTAAAAATTGTTATTTTCGAGTTTGTTGAATTAGTTACAAAGCTTGTAGTAGAAGAAGGAACGAGCAGAAAAGATGACGAAGCGTAAAAGAACAAGCATGAAGAATGATAAAGCACAAAAGAACGAGGAACTAATAAGAAAAATGATGAAGTGCGAAGGACGAACAATTTAAATCTAATTATTATTTATTTTAAAAAGATTAATATAAATTTTAATTAAAAAAATATTTGTTGTGGTTATTTGATTGACGTTATTTTTGACATACGAATTCGACACAGTGACCCAAAACGACGCCGCATCATTGCAGAGCTTCACCACCTCAAATCAAACCCTAACCATGGCGAACTCGCAAGAGCAAGATCGTCCATGGTTCCTCTACGCAATGCCATTGCTAGTCTTTACTCTGATCGCATTTCATCTCCTCGCTTTGGTAAAAACCCTAATCCACTACCCTAATTTTTGAAATGTGAAAATCAAAATTATGTTTTGGATTTCAGGTGTATTGGATTTACAGATTGTCGACTGATGTTAAGCCGCAACAGCAGCTGCTTCAGCAACAGCTGCAGCTGCAACAGTCACAGAGGAGAAAAGCTCACTGAATAGAATGATTATGAAGTACTTCTTCGATTTAGATTTGTGAGAACGTTTTAATTTTCCTCATATAATTGTTGTTTTGAAAGGAAAATATGTGAAATAGTGTGAGATTTGTCCAGTGTTGTCGAATAGCATCTATAGCGCTATACTTAGTAGAATTTGAACGAATTGCTATTGTTTTGTAGCATTTAGTTTAGCATAAAGTGCTGTTAGAGCAGTGGTGTGTAACAGAACTCGTACGAAATGATAATTTCTGGGATGTGCGTTTTGACAACGTTGAATATGTGTTTTGGTCTTGGATTTTTAGTGAAGATGCAATGTTGTGCGGGGTTTATAACTTGTTAAACTGAGGTTATATTTGGGAGATGTTAAATTAGTCAGAAGTGAAATTGCCTGTAATTATGTTAAATTCTATGCTTGGATTGTAGGTATGGTGGAAAATTAGATCATACAGAAGATTAGAATTTCTCTGTAGGTGGGATTAGAATGGGAATCACATGATTTTGTTGTTTTTGTCATAAACTTAGTTTTTGGCAAGGTCTTATTTAAACATTGTGGTTTTGTTAGAGATTTTCATCTTATGTCGATATAAGTATCAAAGAACTTGTAGAAATGGTAGGAATTCTCTGTTTTTGAAGGTTTCTTTTATTCCTTTTGTTCTCCTTATTGGTTTTCTCATTTCTCTTCATGTATTTAAGGTTGAACTAGGTTGAAGTAGATATGGCCACTGGCCTATCACTTGTGTTTGTGTGCTGCTTGATTTTTTAGAATGTGTGTTTTGAGTGTTTTACTAGGTTTTAGTGGAAGTGGGTGTTGTTTGGTTCTGCACTATTCCCATGAGGATATTTTGTCGTATTTTGTCAAAATCAAATAATCTATGTAGAAAATAGTTAAGCTGCAAACGGCAATTGAGCTTACATTACTGCAATAGTTATGCTTAAAGCATGTAACTAAGTTTAAAAACACATTTGTAGAAACAGTTCAACTTTAATTACATGAGATCTTTCAAACCAAATGTTGATGTCTATACTATATGTAGCACTGCGATAAAAGATTTATCAAGGAGGAGGTTAGAAGGTTTTTCGTATTATTTCTTATAGGAAAAGAAGTTTGAAGTTTATAAATATATATACGTTGGCGTTGGCATACATCTGCGGTGTATGGTAGGTAGCTTCATCATTTTGCTTAAGAAATATTAGAGCTATGAAAATGAACTATGGAATGTCGCACTTAAGTGGGTAACAATGATTTTGCTATTCTGTATGACTTGTTCTAAACAGGGAAATTGATTCTCCGACCGTGAATCCTCTACATTCTGGTGAATTTAGGCATTTTTTATGAGAGAAAAGTGAGAGAAAGAGGGAAATAAGTTAAGAGTGTATTGTAGGTGAGAGATAGATACATAGAAAGGTAGGGTGCAATTCCCACCACAAACAGAATCCCAACCTAAACGAAAATGGATGTGATGTTTAATCAATGTTCCAAACACATATGGTGCATTGTGCTTGTGTCTGTTGTAAATTGGCTATGTAATGTAGTTCTTGTAACTATTCGTAAACAACATCATTTGAGGTTTTGATGTCAGTTTTTGGGTCGTACGATTTATATTTCACTAAATATCAGTCGGTAACCGCAAACTATATTTTGATTCAGTTTAAGAAATCGACTACATACACCTCAGTAATGAATTATAATTTCGATTCAGTTTAAGAAATCGACCACATATACCTCACTAAATTAATGTACACAAAAATGATTTGGATATAAACGCGTTTTTTAATAAAACATCACTATGAATAAAACATTATGATTAGGTGATCGGTAAATTAGTAAGTGTACTAATACGGTAAAATAGTAATAATGAGAATTTTCAAAGTATCTTTCTTAAAGATTGCGTATCAGTATCGGTTTTGAAATTGTCGCTTAACAATAAGTAGAAATATAAAATGGCTTCTTGGCTTCTTCACAGATATGAAGAGCTAGGGTGATTTGTCCTGCAATAACATTGACTTGATTTCTTCAACAAGTTCATAACCTTCAACTATCGAATCTTTAATTTATTTTCCCCTAAGTCTTTAGTGGGAAAACCTTTGGTCCTTCATCCTAATACCTAGGTCCTTAGAGAATTATGATAAAACCAAACATTTATTTTATCAAGTGAACAATGGCGCCCCGGTCCTAATTGTTAAATTAATCCCGATTTATCCGATAGAAAAAGTATAAGAACATTGAACAATTAAATTGAAAAAAAAATTATTGTATCAAAATCATTACATTTACAAAACAGGGACACCCCTAGCATTGGGGTTTAGCTACTCATATTATTCAAAATAACTACAAGATAAAAACTAGTCATTCCAGGTATTTGGATAACTTCGATCTTCAATTGCTTTCACTCATGAGAATCTTCCGCTCTCCAAGAACCTTGATCTCTCCAATAGTAAAAACTCATCTAAATAGAAAAAACTCATTTAAGTCGGATGGAAGTATCCAAAATATTCCCACAGCTTAACATATGGGCAAAATAGAAAAAAAGATGAAAAATCAGCGTCACAAGCCAACACGGTCTGTGTTGGGCAACACGACCTCCCATGTTGGCCCTCAAACTTTTAATTCTCCACTTCAAGTCTCAGGGGTTGCAACACGGTCTGTGTTGGGCAACACAGCCACCCGTGTTGCACCCCTGACTTCCCATATTTTCCAACGTGCCCAACGTATCCCTCCTGACACAACCTGTGTTAGGCCTCCTGAAACGTGATTTCTGCATTTCTTCTGAAACTCTGAGTTTTGCACTGAATTGTCCCGATTTATTCCTCTGAACCTGAAAAAATAAAATACACAACCAACATATAAAAAGTTGTACAATAAAATAAAACACGCGACAATAAAAAAAAGATAACTGGACTTAACGGTAAATAATTGTGTAAAAACCACTGATCAAACTCCCTCAAACTTAAACAGTTGCTTGACCTCAAGCGGCCATTACTAGAACTTATGAAAATTACAGTAGCCCGGTACTCATACGTGAAACATCCGTTCATATTGATCAAAATGCAGTTTATCTGATGTTCACATGACGCGAGGAGTTTGTGTAAGAATCTTTAAATCTCGAGCCTCCTCTTCAGATACCTCTCTAACTATGCTTTGTACTTAAGTCTTTTTTTGATTTTCCTTCTTTTTAATTTGGACAGTCAAATTAAGTCAATGGAAATTTTTGATCATCACAAGCACAAGACTAATCAAGAAATTTTTTGTTCAGACACCAAATATGCGGCTTTTGCTCCTTTTTAATTATAGATGAAATTTTCAAAACTTTTCGATTTATATATTGTCCTTTTGGACGATGTTTAGGGATCAACCCCCTTTGGGCTGAATAACCGAGTGAGGGCTATCCAACTTAGCGAGCCAGTTGCCTTTTACCGTCTTTTTATCATTTGGTGCCAACTTTATTTATTTCTCAATCAGTCATACATGCATGTGAATCTAGATTATGTCAGACTATATTGATAAACTACTTCAGGAGTACTTCTCATGATTCAAGCACTATGATACAAATCTACATGTTAGACTCGTATCACTGTCATGTTATTTTGAACTTTCTACCCTTAAACAATCATTCATTTGTCTCTATATACTATTCTTGATCTCTATGAAATACAAGCTCTTGAGCAAAACAAAACAAAAAAAATTCAGTCAAAATTTGGGAAGGACTTCAACTCGTGGATTTACACAACAATTAACATAAAAACAACGAATAACTCGGAAAAAAAAGCAGTAAAATCTCCCCAAACTTGAACTAAACATTGACCCCAATGTTTCAAAACAAGCTCGACGAAGGTGTCTCATAGAGGGTAATGCAACACTAGTTAATGCCTCCTAGATTTCACCAGCAAGACTCCCTTTTTATTACTTGCAGACAAAACGAAACAAACACAAAAAGAAAAACTAAGTTATTAAAAGTGTGGGTTAACGTTGCATGGCTCGACGGTCCATCCCCTTATGGGGGTACTTTCTCTTCCACACCTTGTTACTTGTCCTTTCCGCAACCCAGAACTCATTCAGATCAAAAGTATGACCCACTTTATGATTCAGGTCACTTCCAACTTCCATCTTCTTACCTCAGTGTTCCTTCTTCTTTCTCTTTTTGACTTCTTGACTGAAATTGAGAATTTTTATTGATGCCACCTGAGAGATTATGCTTGAGACTTCTTCTGAGAGTGATTTTGAAATTTTTATTTCTCCTTCTACTTTGATCATACCGACTAAAGATTTATTCTTTCCACATGCACCTTGCTTCTTGATTTCCAACACCTTCAAGGCCATCTCCTTATCAAATAATTTTAATATCAGATTACCTGTCTCGATATCAAAATTACACCGACTAGTAAGCAAAAAATGCTCGACCAAGAATGATAGGAGTCTCTTCATCTTCAAGAATATCCATGATCTGGAAATCAACTAGAAAGACAAAATTGTCAATTTCCACCAATACATCTTTCGCTATCCCGTATGACTGCTTGATGGTGTTATCAACAAATTTTAATTTTTTCTCGCTCCTGCTTATCTTTTCAATACCAAGCTTTTTGAAGATAGATAATGGAATTAAGCTCACACTAGAACCAGAATCAATTAGAATCCTTTTGAATTTTCTGTCTTTTATTGTGCACAGTAATGCAACTGACCTCGAAACCTTCTGTAGATATGGATTCTTATCTCGAGCGTGATTGCACATAATTTCTTATCAACGGGTCTCTGTCCATCTTCTGTTGGTCTCTTTTTTTATAGTACCTCCTTCATGAATTTCTGGTACAAGGACATTTTCTCAAGTGCTTCAAAGAACGATATGTTGATCTCCATCTATTTGAACAATTTGACAAAATTTATTTAAGTCTTTCTCTTTGTGTTTTTCTTTGCCACTCGAGAGGGATACGA